TATTATGTCATTCTGTAGTTCTGCTATTCTATTATTTTGTTATTTTATTATTCTGTTATTCTATTCTTCTATTCTGCTATTCTGTTATTCTATTATTCTATTATTCTGTTATTCTGCTATTCTGTTATTCTGTTATTCTGCTATTCTGTTATTCTATCTTTCTGCTATTCTGTCATTGTACTATTTTGTTATTGTGCTAATCTGCTATTCTGTTATTCAGCTATTGTTATTCTGTTATTTTATTATTCTGCTATTCTGCTAATCTGCTATTCTGTTATTCTACTAATCTGCTATTCTGTTATTTTGGTGTTATTCTGCTATTCGGTTATTCTATTATTCTGCTATTCTATTATTGTGCTTTTCTGTTATTCTGCTATTCTGTTATTCTATTATTGCGCTGTTTTGTTATTCTGCCATTCTATTTTTCTGTTATTCTGCTATTCGGTCATTCTCTTATTTTGCTAATCTGGTCTTCCGTTATTCTGTTGCTGTTCCACTACCCTGTTCTTCTGCAGGCTGCTGGTGCCCCGAAGGCCTGGTCTTGAACAGTGAGCAGCAGTGCGTGCGCCCGCGAGAGTGCCCCTGCCAGGTGGGCGGCGTCCACTACTGGCCTGGCCAGCTGGTCAAGGTCAACTGCCGGATCTGCACTTGCCAGGAAGGACAGATGAAACGCTGCCGGCAGAACCCGGAGTGTACAGGTCAGCCCTGCGCCAGGGGTCCCTCCCTCTTTCAGGTGAGATGGGAGGGGTCTTCCCTTCCCCCAAGGAGAAACTGAGTCTGCCTTTGTCTCCAGTGAACTGTGGCTGGTCAGCCTGGTCACCGTGGGGTGAATGTCTGGGTCCCTGCGGGGTGCAGAGCATCCAGTGGTCCTTCCGCAGTCCCAACAACCCGACCAAGCACGGCAACGGACGTCAGTGCCGCGGCATCTACCGCAAGGCCCGGAGGTGAGCCAACTCCTCCCCCCCACAACCCCATGTAGAAGACCAGACAGGTCCTCACATGCAAAGAAGCATCAGTGTCAGGGGCCACAATGTCCCCGATGTACGACGGTTCATTCGGTGAAGGTTCGAACTTACAACTGCGTTGAAAAGAGGGACTTAGGGCAATTTTTTTGCACACTTACGACACTTTCGGCATCCCCACGATCAAAATTCAGACCCTGGGCAACTGACTCGTATTTACGACGGTCGCAGTGTCCCAGGGCTCATGTGATCCTCTTTGGCGACCTTCTGTCAAGCAAAGCAAACAGAACAAAACCAGAAAAAAAACCAGAACAAAACCAGAACAAAACCAGAACAAAACCAGAACAGAACAGAACAGAATAGAATAGAATAATAGAGTTGGAAGGACCTTGGAGATCTTCTAGTCCAACCCCCTGCTCAAACAGGAGACTCTTCTCTCCTCCTCCTCCTCCTCTTCCTCTTCCTCTTCCTCTTCCTCTTCCTCCTCCTCCTCCTCCTCCTCCTCCTCCTCCTCCTCCTTTGAATAACAGAGTTGGAAGGACCATGGAGGTCTTCTGGTGCTCCAGCAGGAGACCTTCCACTGTAGGGGTCTCCAACCCCCCCCCCCCAAGCTGTGACCCACTACCAGACCGTGGCCCATTCAGAATCGGACTACATGAGTGATTAGCCAGCGTAGGCAGGCGCATGGGCCCGCCACTAGTGGAGCCAGTTCCCCCCTCTTCCCCACCCCACCAAACCGTAAAGGTCGGAGACCCCTGTTCTACTATTCTGTACAAATGACCGTCCAATCTCTTCTTGAGAACCTCCAGTATCGGATCACCCATAACTTCTGGTGGCAAGCAGTTCCACTGGTTAATTGTCCTCACTGTCATGAAAATTCGCCTTAGTTCCAGGTTCTCTCCTTGATGAGTTTCCACCCATTGCTTCTTGTCCTGCCCTCAGGGGCTTTGGAGACTAGTCGGAACCCCCCTTTTGTTTGTGGCAGCCCCTCAAATATTGCGAGACGGCCCCCGCGTCCCTCCAATTCTTCTTTTTATTAAACTAGACATGCCCAATTTTTTCAACCCTTCGTTGTATGTTTTACGCATCGGTCCCCTAATCATCGAAGTTGCTCTTCTCGGCACTCTTTCCAGCGTCTCAATGTCTTTTTGGTATTGCGGACACCAACACTTTGTTGCCCTTCTCACCTTCTCGCAACGGTGTGCGTATGTGCGTGTGCGTTTTCCCAACCCCTCCCACGGTGCACCTCTTGTCTACATGGTGTGCAGGTCAAACGACGTATCATTCCGGCCTTTTGCAGATGCCAGACGGAGCCGTGTGAAGAGTGTGAACACCACGGTGCACCTGTTGTCTACGTGGTGTGCGGGTCAAACAATGTCTCATTCCCACCTTTTGCAGGTGCCAGACGGAGCCGTGTGAGGAGTGTGAACACCACGGCCGTACCCACGCCATTGGCGACCGTTGGCGTTCGGGGCAGTGCCAAGTGTGCCAGTGTTTGCCCAACCTCACCGTCCAGTGTTCCCAGTACTGTCCCTACAGCACGGTGGGCTGTCCCGAGGTCAGTTTGGCCCCGTTCCTGCTTCGTGGAGCTCCGGAGGTGTCGGATTCTTCTTCTGACGCTCCTCCTTTCTTCCCGCAGGGCCGGGTGCTGGTGAAGGGCCTGGCGGACGCCTGTTGTTACTGCATGGAGGGGGGTAAGTCCTAAAGGGAGTGAGGTTGTGAGGCAGAGACAACACACGTTCGGTATCACCACCACCAACGGGAGCCACATTTACGCAGAGATACGCAGCGTCGTTCAACCTCAGTAGCTTGAAGAGGGGTGGACTTCAACTCCCAGAATTCCTCTGGCTGGGCACTTCCAGGAGTTGAAGTCCACCCCTCTTTTAAAGCATGCCGTCTAGGGAATTCTGGGAGTTGAAGTCTGTCCCTCTCAAAGCATGCTAGCTGGAGGATTCCAGGAGCTGAAGTCCACCCATCTTTTAAAGCATGCCGGCTGGGGAATTCTGGGAGTTGATGTCCACTCCTCTCCAAGCACACTGGCTGGAGCAGGCGGTTGGACTAGATAACCTCCAAGATCCCTTCCAACTATTCTAAGAGGGACTGTCTTCTCTTGCAGGGGAGAACCGGACAGCTATCCCCAGCGCTCGCCCTCCGGGACCCCTGGGTACCACTCCAGCCAGCTCCGCTCCCTTCCCCACAGCTCTCCCACTCAATACGTACCCGCTGCCTCCGCTTGGTGGTAAGTCAGTCCGCGTACCACGTTGTCCTCCGGCGTGGATGGTCCTGTGTGTCTCAGCCCCTGCTGACTGTATTCGGGTCCTCTTGACCATCTTCTTTCTACACAGATGTCTGCTACGGGCCTCTGGGCATTGCCTCGCTGCCGGACACCAGCTTCACGTCCTCCGCGCAGCAGCCGGAGAACCCGGCACACGCTGCTCGGCTCGGACGCCTTCTGCCTGGGGCAGATTTGCAGGGTTGGGCCCCCCCAGCAGAAGTCTATCCAGAGCTGCTGTCTCGGCCTCCCTTCCTGCAAGTGGATTTGGGCGAGCCCAGGAACCTGACAGGTAAGGCGCCTGGTCTGGACGGAATGGGCAAATTGCCCCAGCCAACTCGCTGTAGCCAATTCATCACAGCCAACTCGCCTTGGCCAATTCTTCATGGCCAACTCGCCATCGCTAATTCGTCACGGCCAACTCGCCGTGGCCAATCCGTCACGGTCAATTCGCCGTGGCCAATCCGTCATGTCCAACTCGCCGTGGCCAATTCGTCACGGCCGACTCGCGATGGCCAATTTGTCACGGCCAACTCGCCGTAACCAATTCGTCACGGCCAACTCGCTGTGGCCAATTCGTCACGGCCAACTCGCCATGGCCAATTCGTCACAGCCAACTCGCCGTGGCCAATTCGTCACAGCCAACTCGCCGTGGCCAATCCGTCACGGTCAATTCGCCGTGGCCAATCCGTCATGTCCAACTCGCCGTGGCCAATTCGTCATGGCCAACTTGACGTGGCCAATTCGTCATGGCCAACTTGACGTGGCCAATTCGTCATGGCCAACTTGACGTGGCCAATTCATCACGGCCAACTCGCCATGGCCAATCTGTCACGGCTCACTTGTTGTGGGACAACTTGCCACGGGACAATTTAACAATTCACCTCATCCTCTATCCTATCCTATCCTATCCTATCCTATCCTATCCTTTCTATTTTACCATCTTGTCTCATCATCTTCTCTTCTCTTCTCCTCGTCTCATTTTGCCTCACCTTGTCTCGTCTCATCTCATCATCTCATCATCTTACCTTACCTCATCATCTTCTCACCTCATCCTATCCTATCCTATCCTATCCTATCCTATCCTATCATCTTGTCTTATTATCTTCTCTTCTCCTTGTTTTGCCTCACCTTGTCTCGTCTCGTCTCATCTTATCTTACATTGATCGATGTCTCTCCGTCTTCCCCAGGGGTCGTCATCCAAGGGGCAGGGACCTCCGATGCCTATGTGACCAGCTTCTTCCTCCAGTTCAGCCTGGATGGCGAGAGATGGCACGACTACCAAGAAGTGTCCGCCAGGACGGCCAGGACCGAATCGAAGGTTTGGCATCTCCTCTTGAGGAGCGATCGTTCTGGGCGGAGGAGATCTGAGGATTCCAGATCTTCCGGAACTGGGTGGCAGGTCCAAAGTTGAAGGCCTGGCCCGTAAACCTCTTTGGAGGAGCGGACCCTCCTTCCCGGACAGATTCGGATGACGACTGCTTCTGATATGGTGGCGGTCAACCTGCCGAGAGCAGGGCAAGATGGGGGAAAAGAGACAAAGTAGAATCGCAGAGTTGGAAGGGACCTTGGAGGTCATCTAGTCCAACCCCCCCCCCGCTCAAGCAGGAGACCGTTACGGAATGACAGAATCACAGACTTGAACTCACTGGCCCCAAAAGTCACCAAGCCAGTTTTTCAAGGCCTAAAGCGGGACTAGAACTCCCCGTCTCCTGGTGATTGGCCCAAAGTCACCCAGCCGGCTTTCATGCCTAAGGCGGGACTAGAATTCCCAGTCTCCTGGTGATTGGCCCAAAGTCACCCAGCCGGCTTTCATGGCTAAGGCGGGACTAGAATTCCCAGTCTCCTGGTGATTGGCCCAAAGTCGCCCAGCCGGCTTTCATGCCTAAGGCGGGACTAGAACTCCCCATCTCCTGGTGATTGGCCCAAAGTCGCCCAGCTGGCTTTCATAGCTAAGGCGGGACTAGAACTCCCCATCTCCTGGCGATTGGCCCAAAGTCTCCCAACTGGCTTTCATGCCTAAGGCGGGACTAGAACTCCCTGTCTCCTGGCGATTGGCCCAAAGTCACCCAGCTGGCTTTCATGCCTAAGGCAGGACTAGAACTCCCAGTCTCCTGGTGATTGGCCCGAAGTCACCCAGCTGGCTTTCATGCCTAAGGCAGGACTAGAACTCAGTGTCTCCTGGTGATTGGCCCAAAGTCACCCAGCTGGCTTTCACGCTTCAGGCGGGACTAGAACTCCTAGTCACCTGGTGATTGGACTAGAACTCACCACCTCCTGCTGTCTCGCCTGGCGGCGCCTTAACCGCTAGGCCCAACGGTGCACCTCTCGCATTTCCCCCTCCCCAGCTCTTCCAAGGAAACTCGGACGACGCGACGCCCGTCGCCCGGACCTTCCAGCGCATGGTGCCGGCCCGACACGTCCGCCTCCTTCCCCACGACTTCCACAACGGCATCTTTCTGCGCCTGGAGCTGCTGGGTTGCGGGAAAGGTGGGTGGCGGGGTTTCCGGGCGGGCTCCAGGCGGGCCCAGAAGGAAGGGTGGGACACAAAGGCGACACAATTTGTGGACGCCGCCCCTGAGGGGACCGTTCGTCGGCTTCACACAACCCACAAAAGGAACGGAAACGTGTCGGCAGGCTGGGTTTTAGGGCGCTGTGGGAATTCTGGCGCCCTCTTGCCGCGTTTCACCAACCCCCGCCTCCCTGGCTTGGTTGGGTAACCACGGCAACCGTGTGGAACTTCAACGCCCAGAATTCCCTCGTCCAGGCGGAGAAACTCGACTGACCACCGTTCCCTTTCGGGAGGGTTCGAGGCGACGACGTCACCGGAAAACGTGACGTCGCATCGGTCCCTCACACGGAGGACCGGTGCGGGCCTCCGCGGGGGTCACCGGATCAGAATTCGGCCGCTTGGCAACCGGCTCGTACTTAGGTTGGTTGCCGCGTTGTGGGGGGTCTCGCGAGCCCCCTTGGCTCGAGCAGGTGACTCCGACGGAATCACAGCAGGACAGAGTTGGGAGGGACCTGGGGAGATCATCTAGTCCAACCCCCTGCTCGAGCAGGAGACCCTGACTGAATCATACAATGACAGGGCTGGAAGGGACCTTGGCGGTCCTCTAGTCCAACCCCCTGCTCAAGCAGGAGACCCCTGTCTGAAATGGTCTAGGGTTTCCTGCCTGAGCAGCGGGTTGGACTAGAGGACCTCCAAGGTCCCTTCCAACTTTATTATTATTATTATTATTATCATAGAAGGACAGAGCAGCAGACCCTTACGGAGTCACAGAAGGACAGAGTTGGAAGGTACCTCAGAGGTCATCTAGTCCAACTGCCTGTTCGAGCAGCAGACCCTTACGGAATCATAGAAGGGCAGAGTTGGAAGGTCATCTCAAAGTTCATCTAGTCCAACCCCCTGCTCGAGCAGGAAACCCTTCTCTGAAATGGTATAGGATTTCCTGCCTGAGCAGGGGGTTGGACTAGATGACCTCCAAGGTCCCTTCCAACATTATGATGATGATGGTGATGATGATGATGATGATGATGAGTATTATGAGTATTATGAGTATTAGTATTAGTATTAGTATCATCATCATCTATTCTATTCTATTCTATTCTATTCTATTCTATTCTATTCTATTCTATTCTATTCTATTCTATTCTATTCCATTCCATTCCATTCCATATTTTCTATTCTATTCTGTTCTGTTCTGTTCTGTTCTGTTCTGTTCTATTTTCTATTCTATATTCTATTCTATTCTATTCTATTCTATTCTATTCTATTCTCATTCCATTCCATTCCATATTTTCTATTCTATTCTATTCTATTCTATTCTATTCTATTCTATTCTATTCTATTCTATTCTATTCTATTCTATATTCTATTCTATTCTATTTTCTATTCTCCATTCCAGTGGTGACGAACCTATGGCACGGGTGCCAGAGGCGGCACTCTGAGCCTTCTCTGTGGGCACGCGCGCCGTCGCCCCAGTCCTAGGCCTTCAGCTGGGTTTTATAAAACCTTTTCGCTTTAGGCCTCCACCGCTGTGTACACAAAAAAAAAGGTTCAATCAATCAGTCAATTTCAACTTCTCGTGGGAAAAAAAAAGACCTTGCAAAGTTGGAATTGATTGATTGAACTTTTTAGTCCCACCCAGTCTGCTGTTACCACCGCAGCCACGCCTACCCAATGGGCCACACCCACCCTGCACCCAACGATGCATAAGTGGGTTTGGGGTTGAAGTTTGGGCACTCGGTCTCTAAAAGGTTTGCCATCACTGCTATATTCTATTCTATTCTATTCTATTCTATTCTTATTCTACTCTTCCATTATTCTATTCTATTCTATTCTATTCTATTCTATTCTTATTCTACTCTTCCATTATTCTATTCTATTCTATTCTATTCTATTCTATTCTATTCTATTCTATTCTATTCAGGACCATGTGTACCATTTCAGATTGAGATCCTCAATCACTCTCTCTTTCCCTGCCTCAGTTTCCCCAGAGCAACCCGGCTGGCCCACGTCCCCGCCCGGATGGAGGCCTTGCTGGGCTGGTGAGTTCCAGTGCCGGAATGGACGCTGCGTGCCTGCCGGGCACCATGGGGCCATCTGCAATGGCGTCGACGACTGTGGGGACTTCTCGGATGAGCTGCGGTGCGGTGAGTGGACTGCGGGAGAGGCGGCGGGATCAACACTCTCCTATCCAGGGTGGAAGATGGGTGGAGTTAATCCGTGGAACGGCTCGCCACCAGAAATTGCGAATGCTCCGACAGTGGAGGTTTTGACAAAGAGATTGGACCACCATTGGTCTGAAAGGGTGCAGGGTTTCCTGCCTGAGCAGGGGGTTGGACTAGAAGACCTCCAGGGTCCCTTCCAATTCTGCCATTCTCTTCTCTTCTCTTCTATTCTATTGTTTGCTAATCTTTTCTATTATATTCTATTCCATTCTGTTGTCTGTTTTATTCTGTTCTGTTCCGTTCTATTTTGTATTCTTTTCTATTCTGTTCTGTTCTGTCCATTCTGTTCCATTCTGTTCCATTTTATTTTCTATTGTCTATTCTGTTCTATTTTTTATTTTCTATTTTCTATTGTTTTCTGTTTTCCATTTTCTATATTTTCTATTATTTTCTATTTTCTATTATTTTCTATTTTCCATTTCCTATTTTCTGTTTTCTATTGTTTTCTATTCTATTCTGTTCTGTCCATTCTGTTCCATTCTATTTTCTATTGTCTATTCTGT